GCTGCTAATGCAAATGAATCCGGCAATTGTTCGGATGATTAAAAAAGATATCGAACTGGCTCGACGTTTCCTGGTAAATTGCTTTGCAACATCGATGCCATATTTCTATTGTTATTGTAGAGTTGCTTGTGCCAGAGGATAACATCAGCGCTGCCATGATAACTTCTGAGAACTATAAACAAGTGCGCAGCATCTGGTAAGCCTTCAGACTAATGGATCTGCTGCTCAAACAGTCCTTCCCGGATGCTATTTTATTGGCCCACGAGCACTTGAAACAAATATCCAAACAATGCAGATACTTGCTTTTTCTTAATATGTTTACAGCCTGAGAGCCAGATACTCCAACAGTGACCTTGGTTTATTTTGTTTAACTATCATCCACAATCCCACCAGTTTTTTTTTTTAATTAAATATTTCATTTTCAAACATTTCCACTAAATTTAACAGTCTATGACCGAAATCTAAATATAACAGGATATAAGTGGGAGAGCTTCTTTGGGACGGGGAGAGTGGGGGGATGGTTTGCCTCTGAGGCATAATTCTTGTTCCACTTTTCAGCTTTGTTTGCATAAATCCTCCACAATCAGGCTCCTGGCAGATAAAACCCCACCATGGGGCATGCCCAAGGTTAAAATCCACACCAGGGCCATTTGTGTCTTGCAATTTTCCTTTTATCCTCCATTATATCTCTTATATCAGGTAATGATATTGTGGTTTAAGTCTTTTAACTCATGAGTGTAGTTCAGTTGGGCCATTTTAAGAAATCTGACTTTGGCACTTTGACACACTGTTCTCATGATCACCTGGACACATCGGGGCTGAACAAATGCCTTTAACATATGAGGGATTTAATCACATGTAAGCTTTGATCCCCTCTTCACGGTAAACCTTCTGTGTCTTATAGCGTCTGCTCTGGCTGAGTAGGTGTTACGCAGTTGGATTCCCTCCAGCCGATTACACCAGTCAATTGAATGAACAGGGTGAATAGTGACAACCTGTAATTATCAATCTAAGTATTTTCTGCTGAGATTAATTCTTTCTGCATCAATGTGTCTAATCAAAATGGACTCTGTCTGTGCTGACAAATCAGCGAGGAAGAGACAGAGGAGAGAGGCGTCTGAATAGAGGCGAACCAAGCCCTTCGACTGTCACCAGACTCTCCTTCAAGACTCAATGGTCTGAAGTCTTAACACAGCTTCCTCTTTCATCTCTATCCCATTACATTTCCCCAGTTAAATGCCGTTTCCATCCATCAAGTAACTGAAAAGAAAACCCTATTCAGTCTGTTTCAACATTAAGTCGAAGAAAACTTGTATTTAGTGCAATCAAAGGCTTCTGCAGCATGTCTGTGTCAGACTCCTGTATAAGGGATTCTAACACGCCTTCTTCTATACATGAAAATATGCATAGGAGAAGTTATTTTGTTAACATTTGCTGAATGTTTATCTACTGCTCAATGGGAGGATAAAGATAAACTGTACTGAAAAATATGTCTGTGAAGATTCTCAGTCATCCAGGTCATGGTTGTTCTGATAGTTTAGTCGTAGCAATGGACTTTCTTGAGTTCCTTGAAGATGTTCCACCTCTCATCCAAGAGGCTTCATCAGTTCTGACTGACTAGTTGGGAGTTCCACATACTTATATTCTTAAGGAGCCATTAACACTTGAGTTTCAGTTTCAGCTGGTGGTTTGTTGCTCCTCCCCCTAATTATGTGAGTCATTAGTACTTTTCCTGCCACAGTGGGGCTCATTAGGGTCTTTTGTGGGTAGGTGTGGATGTGGTTTCATCTTCCTGGGGAGAGGTCTTAAGACTAAATTGTAAACAGGTGAGAGGTGATGCCTCAGACCTCCACCTCTGTTCAGTGATGGTCTTTCCAGTTGAAGGCTTCTTTCACTCCTCTCTTGAACCATCTGTCCTCTCTGATGGAGATGTCTTCAAGAAGCTCAAGCAAATCCAGTTGCTTTGACTAAAGTACTGAAAAAATCAGAAAAGTGTACAATGTCAAGAAGTAATAAAAATCCTGTCGATAAACAAGCTTATGCCTCAGAAAAAACTCTAAACCTTTATTTTTTGTGCTGCAATCAATTTTTGAAGATAGAATAATAATTGAAGAAAAAACAAACATTTTAAGGCTAGCATTTTCATCACTCGTGCCTAATTTCATTTAGCCTGTTATTATTTTACTTTGAAACGAAATCGGTTGATTTATCCCCTCAATTAAGAGTCAGTTTAACAATTTTCTAATAAAGTTCAGCCCCAGGGCCGGCAGACATTTGTTTTCATTTGCTATTTTCTCCACAAGTTCAAGAGAAAATGTCTTTGATATTGTGTGTGCGCACAAGCATGAAGATAACTCTGAACTCAACCTGATTGTTAGTCGACTGAGAGACATTTAAGGACCCATAAAGTTAATTTAGTTTAGCCATACGGACCGTAGCTTAGCTGAGAATATTTCATCCACTTTCTTATTATTCTTATACTATTCGCTTTGCCTTCACCTTCGATTCAGTTTGTTGTTTAATTATTCATGAATAGTGCATAATTTATTATACACTTGTTTTTGCCTTACTTCTTGCCCAAGGGTGTAGTTGTTTTGTTTTTCTTTCCTTTAGTGAATGTCTGAGACATACTGTAGTTTGGAGGCTTTGGTTGTAAAATGCTCAGTGCAGCTGCTTCAAGTCTGAAATGTGCACTTGCTAGCCAGAGGAGGAATGATCAGACTCGTGGAATTTTTCGACTTTTTTTTTTTTTCTCCCCCCTGCTCTCTTCTGAATACTAACCAAATGGGGGCAAAAAATACAGTAACTTTTTAGCTTCATATTTAAATATTTACATTCACTGATTAATAACTCAAACTGTAATAATGCATCTTTGCACTGCTGCAGCTTTTTTTCTTTCTTTTTTTTGTGTTAAACTCAAATCAACAGACCACATGAGTTATAGGAAGTGTTTCTTTCCAGATACAGTGTTTTGGTAGAAATGTTTCCAGCTGAATCCTAAAGAGGTGAACCTATGAGGGCCGTAGCTGTCCGCACGGTGCAGTCCAGCTGACTGCATTGTTACAGGATGAGCTCATCCCCTCCTGAGAAATCTGATACTGATTTGGCAGCACTGGACTTGAGGTTGCAGGTGTGCAATAAATTGCTGCGTGGCATGTGATCTAACTTATAACACGTTTGCTGATAAACTGCATCCAGAATGAGATTAAAAAGCAGGAATTTGCCTTCAGCTGTGAAAACTAGCATGAGGACCTATTACTGTCATGGTGCAGTACATCACAGCACCGATCGCTGGGACCAATAGGAATCATTTGGGTTTTGTTTAGACAGCTGAGTATAATAACAGACTGTAAACTGTTTTAAATGATCTCCTTTATTATTATGATTAATGGGGCAGAGAGTGCTTTGTAAATCTATGTTCATCTCACACAGAGAGTAAACGCAGAATAAAGGACTCATTAATATCTTCAACATGTGTCATTCCACTGCAAGCTAAATATTAGGAATCTTTCAACAAGGAATCCTTCTTGTACATCATCCAATCTGAACCGCGTCTTCCTGTTTCTTCATACCAGAGCGGCTGCGGGGAGTCAGTCAGCATTAATGCACTTCAGTTCACCGAGGAACAGGTTAGAATGATGCATCAGCAGTCTGATGTCCAATCTATAAGGAAATTCAACAACTTTTAATCCTGGGAGCAAACTCAATTCAAAAACAATGTACTATTGTAGCACTGAATAAATATAGTTCCAACACTCATCTTTGCCACCTTGTGATTATCGGTATGGAAACGTGGGAAAACAACATGCACTGACAGCAACTATGAAAAGAGATTAGTCACAGCAGGGATTGTCTTTAACCAGCAACAACAGGAATGTGGTGAACTTATTGAATTACTGAACTTAAAATGAGAGAGACATGCTGAATAAACGGATTTCAAATTTGAATCAGTGTAGAAGGATTCAAAATTGAATAAAAAAGCATGACAAAAACTTCAAGTAGATGTGTTTTGGCTTCATTTAGTTTTTTTTTTAACTGCAGCTGACTCTATTCTCCTCTCCATCCATCTTATTTACCTGTTTATTTGTGTTGACTTAATGGGAGTTGGACCATGTACCCAGCATGTGAAGAAAAAACCCTGGACAGGCTGCCAACGCATCACAGATCATACACACAGACAGACAACACATTCACACCTGGAGGCAACTCTGAGTTTTCTCATCACGTGTTTGGACTGTGGGAACCTGTCTGGCCCTGGAGGGAAACTCCTGGTCAAGATATCAACAAACAACTTGTAGCTACATTTTTAAAAAATTGTAGTCCAAACAAATCAAGTGGTACTAGCGGTGAAATGCACAGTTAAACTAAGTCACAAAGACAGTTGCCTCAATCCAACTGCAGCCCAATCTTCCAAAAATTCCATTTCTATACAACTAAGCTGCCTTCTCAAATGTGTTTTGAAAACAATCATATATTACAGTGAGGAGTCACCACTTTGACCAACCACAAAATACGTCGAGTTTTTGTGCTTAAACTTGCTTAAAGCCAAGCACCGACATGGAGTTCTCATTGCAAAAGCATTTAGTAAAGCGTGTATTTTCTGAATATAATTTTGGTGCCCAAACGTACGAGGTGTCAGAAAAGTTTCAGGACTGATGTCATAGAAGATATATTTCAAATCCAAGCTACAAGTTTTCTCCTTCCAAGTCATCTCCCTGGAGTCTAACACACTTTCCCAGCCTTCTCTGCCACGCCGCCATGCACTCCTGGAAGGATTCTTCCAGGATCCTCCGCAGCTTTGTTGTCACAACCATCTTGATGTTGTCCACGTCTTCGTCCCCTTGATCACCGCCTTGAGCTTGGGGAAGAGGAAAAAAATCCCACAGAGCCAGGTGGGGTGAGTAGGGAGGTTGCTCCAGCACGGTGATGTTCTTCTCAGCCAGGACCTGTCGGATGCTCAGGGCGTTGTGAGCAGGCGCATTGTCACGGTGAAGCAGCCACGGCCACGGGAGCCGTGAGGGCTACGCCGCAAGGAGTAGGAGGGCCGCCGCGGTGCACGCAGAAGCCTGTGGCGCGGGCCTGGGTGGAGCCGCCGCGAGTGCAGATCTTGGTGGTAGTAGCAAATATTCAAGCGAGAACCTTGAAAGCTGAAGTGGAGAAGGGTTCCATGTGAACAACTCTGGCCTCTTCTCGCGCACTGAACGAAGCAACTCTGCAGGATCTCTTTGTAGACGTGCTGGTTGATCATCTGAAGGGAAAAACTTGTACTTTAAGTTTGAAATATATCTTTTGTGACACCAGGAACTTTTCTGACACACCTCGTAAGCAAGCAGCGAGTAAAAACCAAAAGTAAACAACAAATGAAAACAGATCTTGAGTGTAAGAATGATGGTCCCCAGCAGGACAGGAACCCCAGTCTCCTGTGGGAGGGTTTGGTTGCTGATTTATCTCTTATCATTAAAGCATTATTCATCCTCTCCTCCTACCTCCTTAAGGCCAGTTCATGCTTTCCGTGTCTGCAAGGGACATAAATGTGGTCACATTGATCCCTCTGTGGATGCCCACTGGCAGCCTGAAATGACCACACCGACTGTTTATGCGCCAAGAAAACAAATGGCACTTAAAACAAATGCTTCTTATGAGGGGAGACTGTTCAAGAAGGTTTTACATGATCCATGCTTCTATAATTCATCGTTTAGGTTATCTGCTGATTGAGCTCGTCGCTGCTTTGATTTGTACAGGCCCCAAACACAGTGTGAAGCTCAAAATTTGCCAGAAAGCCCATGCCATGTCTGTCCACTGAGCTCGACGCACCTCGAGCATAATAACACTGACACGGTGCAACAGTCTAATCTGTGAGTAGCTGTTATATCCTGTAAGAAGTGTGAAGTCACAGGCAGAATTTCAGAAATAGACAGAACCACGTGCATGTCTGCTATCTGCTTATTGCACTGCTGTGAGCACATGGAAAGAATGCTTTGGTCCTCGTGAGGGTCTGCTAGGATTGACTTGATTTTCATTTTCTGAGCAGAGAACATGTAGAAACAACCTACTGCACACGTGTGGACCGGAAACCTCTGAGTGGACTCCTGTGGACAGAAAAGTAGCACAATAATAAGTACATGTCCGTGGGTGTCTGCAGTTGTCCGAGTATGCATCCCCAAGGGAGTGTAATCACGGCTTCATGCTTGAGGCACTTCTAAACCGGAAGCCTTTCCAACTACATCACAGTCCTGCATTTCAGCGACAAAATGCATTTCTTTGACAATGAAAATGAGAACTTGTATAGGAACGTATTTTTTTTTGGGACACTTGCTTATCGGGTCTCTTGTAGCTTGCTAACATCGATCTGCTCTACAGTAGATTACTTTATGGCTCATTTAATTGAGCCATAAAGTAATCTACTGTAGAGCATAAAATCCTTCTGAGGTTCTGTTTGTGGAACCAACAATCCATACCCAATCCTGTTTATATGTCCCATAAGCTCATTCTTGCATAACACAAATTTGCTGCATATTGTCTTTTTTTCCAACACACACACACACAGACACACACACGCAGACGTACACGGGTGTCCAGCTGGACTGAACATTAAAATAATGCGTTGAGATAGAGAATGTGGAGAAAAACGCAACCAGGAAACAATTTATCATGGAAATAGTGAGCATAAGGGAGGTATCCATCTCTCTCCATCTGTATTTGTTAAAGTTTCACGCCAACTCTGTTGCTAAAGCCGTGATCGATCTGCTCGGGGCTGCCTGTGCACGCTGCAGCAGGCAGCTCTGGGACGTCAGTCATTGCTCAAGTCTAAGCTCAGGGTCCTGCACCGCTCTGGCAGGCCGGCCCTCTGTCCAACACAGGTTGCGGCATTTGAAATATTAAGCAGGAGCTGAGAAAGAGCAGAGTCAGGGTTCCACCTTTATGCATGTCAGACACACTGAATGTTATGGACCCGCGCGCAAATCTGACATCGGCTGGGATGCTGAGTGGTTAACTCCTCCTGTGGCTTTTCAAACATGATGTTCAGCCAAAACACGACTTGCAGCAGGATATAAGAAACTAAGCAGCTGTGTTGTTTGAAAAGAAGCGGCTGAATTCACTACCACTCGTTTATTTCACCTTTCTTCTTTTTGTCTTCAACAATATAAAACCGTTAATACCCAACGCATCAAAAATAAATCAGCCTGCTCTTTGATGCATGTCTGTGTCTCGTACACAGGTGTGTGATTGTTTGTGCATGTGCCGTATATCCATGCTAAGCCTGACAGATCTATCTGGTGCAAGCCTTGAGTCTTTCTCTACCAGCACACTCCCAGCTGCATTATAATTCTGACGCTCCAGGTGCTCCAGTCTACTGATAAGGCAAAGCTCATAATCCATAAAGGAGCTCGGAGGGCCACTATTTTTGTTTACCGTTCAGGGATCAGCCTCTGGCAAATTAGACATTTCCCTTCCATTTTATATCTTCATGTGTATTTATAAAAGGAGATAAATCGTGTATCCTGACTTATATATAGCGTTTGTTCTTCTGATTTCAGCCTCACTGGTCATCTACATGTCACATACCATAAGTATACATAGGTATCCTTACAGTCAGTGATAGAACTTACTGGTTTTCTCCACCAGCTCAACTTTATTGTAGAAAATATACAGAGAGAAAAAGCAGTGGTTGGAGAAGCACGATGCTGAAATACAGAAGCACCTCAGGGGACTACAGCTTCAAAAACAGCTAGAAGATGAAGCTTGTTGTTCTGTTCCAAATACACAAAGGGAAGATGTCTGCAGTACTGTAATCTGCAAGCAACTCAACCTCAGATTAGAATGAGCAAACCATACCCAAATCAATGAACCGTCAATAAACAAATGTAATTATTCTTTTCAGTTTAAATCGATTCAGTGGGATATTTTTGGCCATCCATAGAAAATGCAAACAAAATTATGACTTCAGTTCATCACTTGATTACATATCTCAGTATCGATGGTGAAATGTGAGGAAAAATAATAAAATTACAGATGACAAAAAAGGGCAATTGAAATAGTCTTTTTTTAATTAATTAATGGGGGAAAAAAAGAAATGAATTCGACAGTGTCAGTGCAAAGCAGTGTGAGAAGAAGCCATAAACTAACAGGAGAGAACTATGGCACCATAGTGTGTTCACACATACACAACCAGAAGTGGGGGGATTGCTCATTTGAATCTTTACATGTTGACGCCTCCTCAAGTCACCCTGCTGCTCACTAAAAGGGAAGTCCTCCTTTCACACGTTTGTGGGAACTTCATTGATCATAACAACTGGTGTTGATGATATGCATGGCTGTAAGTGGTTGACTTGCAGCAGCTCTCCAGTTCTGGTAATGTGAACGTAACCATGGTGAGTGTTGCATTTGCATTTTACTTGACAGTCAAATCAAACAGTTATCATTGCCCTTGACTGTGTTGTCAATGACTGAAAATAGTTAGTTTGTCAAAAAATAGGTCACACTCATGCGCTTGCCCAAACTGCCATCTTTGTTGACCACCTGTGGATGATCGTCAAGAGAACTTATCTCTCTGTTTGTCACCATGAAATCTGCAGTGTGCTTATGTGGGAGGAAAAAAATCACACATGAAGGCGTAGAAGACATGTAATTAGAGCTTAATAAACAGCTTCTCCACTTCTGGTTTGATATGAAAATGTGTGAGCATGGTATAGTCTTTCTCTCCTGTTAAGTTATGGCTTCTTTCCATATCTCACGCTGCTTTGCATTGACACGGTCAAATATGTTCATGCTTTTTTTATCTACGAATTGAAAAAAAGATACAGTCGTGACTCGATAATCTGACACTAAATGGAAAACCTTCTTTTATGTCGGATAGCAAGGCTGTTGGATTGTCAAGACGGAGGTCGAGATACAAGGAGGGCTTGATGCTTGAACGACCACTTCCATCCCAGGGGAGTGCTTCAATGGGGTGGAGGTGGCCGGAACGCACAGGCACTGCTGAAGCCAGTTTAGCTAGTTAGCAGTCACATTTGTGTTTCCACCATCAGTGGTGGTAGTGGCAGGGGATAGAATACGACCACAACAATGGTGATTACATTGTAAATGCACTGGCTCCGGTTGGACAACTACTTTGAAAACAAAACTTTAAAATCACAAGATATGCTCCATCGTTACCATCCACGTTTACTTCCGCAAACACTGACCACGCTCTCAGCTTATCAGGTCGTCGTGTCCTCTTCTGTGCATGTGGGACACTTGTGGGTCGTATGAAGTTCACACAGCAGATTACATACAAGTCGCATTTAATTGGAAATGGGAATGAACTCGCAAAAAAATTGGATTTCACAAAAAAATCTGAATTGAACATTAAGTCCTGCAGTCTGAACGGAGCCAATCTGTCGGATTGTTAAGTCAGATAACACGCTGTGATCCTTATTTGTGACATAAAATGTCATGTTGAAGTCGGAATCCAAGGCTGTCGGTATGTTAAGGCTGTTTTTAATGGGTTTCGTTAATTTTTTCTAAATACCTGTCTGACAGTCAAGTTTTCGGATTGTTAAGGGTCGGATTATCGAGTCACGACTGTATTTTACTTTTCTTCTATTATTGTTCCTCACATTTTCTTTTTGCACGAGTGTTAGGCAGATATTGTATCAAATTCATAATTTTGCAATTTGAATTTTACAATGTAGAGCGCGATTGGTCACCAAACATCCTCCCAAATCAAATCAGTACTGGTACCAGTAAGATATTGTATATTACTGTTTTACTGTGCATCACTAGATCACACACTGAGTCACAGCAGGACATCCTTTGTCTGGTTGTTGATTGATGCCACTTGCCCAATTGCTTTGTTACAAAATCCACTCCGCTATCTTTCGCAGAACACTTTGCAAAGACCACAGAACCACATTTTCTTACCAAACGAACCAAAAACAAAGCAGCACATTTTGATTCATACAAATGAGACAGAAAATAGACTGACAAGAACAATGTGCTCTGAAGAAAGCATTGCAATGAGACGTGGAGCTGCAAAAGAGATTGCTGGCAATTACTTCCCATAATTACTGTGAATTCTTGTGCACTTAGGCTTTTTATGGTGATGATGATTGTCTTCAAAATCACTTATTCTTCTCTAACATGTTATTAGGATTCCTATAACTCTTGGTACAGTATGTGACTATAATTTTTGAAGTTTACGTCGGTAAAAGTTTTGCATTAAATGTACTTACTCGCATGTCTGAGTAAACTTTTATGAGCCGCAAATCCAAACTTGGAAAAAAAAAAAGTTTCAGTAAAGGATGTTTTTTTAGGATGACATTTTTTTTTTTTTTCAAACTAGCAAGATGTTCTTTTTTTGATTATAGTCAACGGTTTATGTCACTTTCATGTTAAAATGTTCTAAAAAATTAAAAAGAAAAATTTTTAATCTAAAGACCTTCTAGTTATAAACTGTTAATGTGTTAGCATGTTAGCAGCATGCTAATCTGTATGTTGTGAAAGTCGATAAAAAGGGAGACGAGAGTTGAGCTTGAGTCTTACCCCTGTCCCCTTCAAAATAATAGTGTCCTTTGTGTGTGAGACCTAGAATTAGTGTACACCACAATGTGGCCCAAAAGGCTCTTGTTTTATTTAGTATAGATTTAGAATAATACATCACATTTTGAGATTTTATTGTACATTTTGGTTGTAAAATCTGCAAAAAATGAGCAGATACAGGCATCAGTCTCAGGGAAAGGAAATAAAGAAATAGGACAGTGCCCCAAATTTAAAACACACAGCACTAAAAAATATCATTTTCCACATCTGATCATCTGTCAGGTGCTGATTTTGGCCCTGAGTAGGAGCTATTCATTCAAAACTCCAAAGGTTACGGAGTTCACAGTGGTGACAGGAAAATAGAGACGCTGTAGAAAACACAATGAACAGGTGGGGAAAAAAAACCTGATGTCGACCCCAAATTCGCTTTTGTTTCTTCTGCAATCTTACGATATCCCAGGCCGACACACTCCAAAGTATTTAGTGAGATTCGCGAACACATCAGCTGTAAGATGTTGTCACAGCTGCTCTCGCACCGAATGAGCCCCGGCGGTCTGTTCCTGGAGCTTTGGGAAGAATTTACCAGCCAATTTCTTCAGGCCCAATACTCAGTGTGCTGCGTGAACAAGCAGTTCAGCACTGACCTGGCCCAACAGCAAATCTCAACATGTGGATATAGTAGCCCATCAGCGCGCCGCTCCACTGTCGGCGCAAATTATAGCTCTTGGAGGCTATGACGTGGAAAAACAGCTTGACAAATTGTTCCCGGGTCACCCCAAGGGAGTCGGGGGGGGGGATGAGACAGACTATGAGGGGATCTCTGGCAATATGGGCCTGCTTCCAGAAGAGACAGATAGATGTTTCTATTTCTGTCCCTCCTTTGTCTTGTTGTGTGCGTACGCTTGACAATAATTTTCAGTTGCTGTGTTGCTTCCGGCAGATTTTCCAGGTGAAAGAACAGAGGACGCACAATACTGTAAATCAGCTTTTCAAAGGCTGCTGTTAGGATAATTTGCAAGGAGGAAAATTGGGAGTTTACATCATAATTTTTTTACCATTATAAGCCCAAAGAGATTGATCCTCCTATGCGATACCTGTTTGTACTCAGGTATTACAGATAAATCCTCGATCAGATTCATGGATGTGAATGAAATCGCAAGATAGTGGCGCTGAACAAAATAATGACTCCTTGGACCGCACGGAGGAACTTTAAATCCAGACAATGTTGTTCCTCCTGCTTTCATTTAAATTCTGCTCCCCTGCGGCATTTGTGTACAATCTGTTCGCTACAAGCATAACCTTTACAAAAAATTCACTTGGCAAAGGTTGTGAATTATTCAGTCTTGTCTTTGAGAAATAACTGAATACTGACACGTAACGAAGGCTTTTCACTTTGCATGCACTCTTTCTAGATAGATAGATAAATAGATAGATAGATAGATAGATAGATAGATAGATAGATAGATAGATAGATAGATAGATAGAAAACTGTCTCTTGTTTGCTTTCAAATTGCATGAAAAATCTGATACAAAAAAAAGCACGTTAGTGTGATTAAAATCTGATATCAGCTATTTTCTTAAACATGTATAATTTACTAGCTTACTCAGTTTTGTCACCCAGATGTTCCTGAAGGTGATCCTGATAAATTCTATGCACAACTACATACATTGTGAACAATCCTAAAAATTTAAAACCAGCACTTTTTGCAAATAACCGCCTCACATACAATTGTTCAAGGTTCAAGATTCGAGGTCTTCATTGGTCAGAAACACAGTTGTACATGGTATAACGCGCAGTGAAATGCGTTGTGCACCTGTTCCACATGAAACAATAACAATAAGATGAATAAGAAAAAAGAATAAAACACACAAGAAATAAATATATATATGAAAGTCGTGACTCGATGACCCTTAACAATCCGAAAACCTTGCTATCCGACAGGTTTTTAGGAAAAACGAACAGAACCCAGAAAAAATAGTCCTAGCATACCGACAGCGTTGGATTCCGACTCTGACATGACATTTTGTGTCACAAATAAGGATAACAGCGTATTATCTGACTTAACAATCTGACAGACTGGCTACTTTCAGACTGCAGGACTTAATGCTCAATTTGGATTTTTTTGTGAAATCATATTTTTTTTTTGCGAGTTTGATCACATTTCCAATTAAATGCGACTTGTATGTGATCTGCTGTGTGAACTTCATACGACCCACAACTGTCCCCCATGCACAGAAGAGGACACGATGACGTCACATGCTCGGTGTTTGCGAAAGTAAACACGGATGGTAACAGTGGAGCGTATCTTGCCTGCTACTTCCCTGCCGCTGCCGCCGCCACTGATGGTGGAAACAGAAGAGTGACCACTAACTAAACTGGCATCAGCAGCCAAATACTGCCTGTGCGTTCCAGCCACTTCCACTCCAACGGGGTGGAATTGGCCGGAACGTGCACAAGCGCACCGTTCAGTTAGACGTGAAATCCAGCGATGTGTAGTGTTCCAACAATACACTAGTTAATATAACAACTATAAACAATCAATATTAACAACAAATCCCCCTTCAAGCATCAAGCCCTCCTTGTATCTCGACCTCCGTCTATATATGTATATATATATATATATATATACTATATCAATATATTAATAGTAAAAATAAATAAATCAAACTGTCAAACAGTGCAAAAGGAAATAAAATAAAGAAAATAATACAGTTATATACTGTACATGTATATATACAAGGTGTATGTCTGTATATTGTATTGTTCTTGTTTGTGTGTTTATCAGTCTATGTGTTGCTGTAGGCAAAGTTAAAGCCAACATTAAAACAGAGAAGCGAAAGAGAAACTTCAAAGGGAACTTGTGCTCTTGTGGTTCCACAGCCTATTCCCTGTTAGGTGTGTATATGATTCTAATGGCAACAGCATAAATCATACTGTTTAAAAGAATGAAAATACAGAAACAGACATGCATAGTGCAATATTACCTTCATTTGTTTTCTGCTGGCTCAATAAAAATAGACACCGACCTGATTAAAACAGCACACATGTTGTATTTCCACCCTCCAGAAGAGGAACTTTGAATTGTTTTCTGACCTCTAAAGGTGTTCTCACACCAAACCTGTTTAGTTTGTTCAACCAAAATGATGCATTTCCCTGTTTAGCGAGGTTCATTTGGTCGGCCGTGAAAGCTATCGATCAAACTCTAAAGCAGACTGAACGACTACAGAGGCCATCGGAAAAGGACGAACCTGGTGCAGTTTGTGGTTTAAGGGCAAACAGACAAACTACAGGGTTTTATGTTGGCAGGTTGATGAGGCTGGAGCATGTTTCTATAGACTGCAGTGTGTTGTGCTTGTGCCCTTTAGTTAAAACATAAGCGACTTGTTGTGAATTATACCAAGAGGTCAACTTGCAATCTAATAATTCTAATAATGCTCATCCATCCATTATCTATACATCGCTCAATCCTCATTAGGGTCACGGGGGAGCTGGAGTCTATCCCAGCTGATTTAGGGTGAAGGCAGGGGACACCCTGGACAGGTCACCAGTCTATCACAGGGCTACACTGAGAGACAGACAACCAAGCACACTCACATTCACACCTACAGACAATTTACAATCACCAATTAACCTCAACATGTTTTTGGACTGTGGAAGCCGGAGAACCCGGAGAGAACACCACACTGTACGGGGAGAACATGCAAACTCCACACAGAAAGATCCCCGCTGCCCCCACCGGGACGTGAACCGGCGACCTTCTTGCTATGAGGCAACAGTGCTAACCAACTGCGCCACCCTGCAGTCCGAATAATGCCCAATATTTTTTAATAAACATAAATATCCATCCATCCATTTTCTATACACCGCCTAATCCTCACTAGGGTTGCGGGGGGGCTGGAGCCTATCTAATCATCAATATGTACGTTGGAATTCATTACCCAGTTTCCCCACAGGTGCTGATGATGAGGGTCACAAATAAGTCCATTTAAAAGATTTTTTCATGAAAATAGTGTCTTCATATGACTAAGATGCACATTTGCTTCTTCTAGAATGTGTTGATCAATGAAGCCCACGCTTCTGTCTATCCAATCCATCCAATTGCTTACTGCAGCTGGAGCACACCAGCTCACCCGTGACTCTGCTCAAACACTGTACAACTACTCTGTGCTACACACTTGTAATATTGGAGTAATTCAGTCATGCAGTCTGAACCGGAAACTGATCCTGAAGAAGAATAATGGTCCGTCAAGCTCAGCCCCTGTAATTTTAACAGGATTGGTTCCTTAAGTTTGCTGCAGTTTAAAGACGGAGAAGCTCAGCCAATATCGGCCCTCATAAATACTGATGAACAGCGATAGTTACTGTATAGTCAATACATGCACACAACACCCGTTGCCATGG